GCTTTTTGCATTTACCATGGTTTACTCAATTCCAGGGCAGTTAATTATTCCCCATCAGTAGTGGATTTAGTTATTCAACAGATTGATACTTTTTCATGTGATGTGTCTTGTGAAAAATGCAACTACAGAACAATTTGAGATGAGATAGTCTTGTCCAGGTGCTCTGTAATTGAAATTAAGTAGCAAATTATCCAGAAGGAAAAATATATGCTTTGTTCTTTAGGCATGCCTAAGACAACAGGAGCAGAATAAAGAACAGGCTGAGAAGAGACAAGAGCAACATACCAGGCCTGAACAGAGACAGAAAACCCTATCTTTCCTGTCTTCTACACGCAGTTATGAAAGACCATGGATATCAGCTGTACCAGTTACTAGACAGGTACTTAAACTATAGCCACACAGATTTTCATAATTTAAAAGATACTCAAGTGGCAGAGAACATTGTAACAGAGCAGTTTCTTACCATTACATACAGGTTCCACAATAGAAGCAGCAATTAGCAAGAAATGGTTGGCGAGAAACAGCCATAAAATTTACTTTTATGTGGATCCTGTGACAATGTTGCATTCCAGCAATTATTTCTTTTCTGTAAAATTATGGATGAGCACACTTATGAGAGCATCTGATTAAACTGAGTAGTAGGATATGACAGGACCATCTCACAGCCAGTCTAATCATTGGCCCACTCACCTGTCTAAAGCAATCTGCCCACCTGCCTTGCCTTTGATGCATCCAATTAGTTGTTTATAAAATGGGAGGCTGCACATTTACTCCCAATGCCAAGGGTGTAATACATGGCTCTGAACCTCCCTTTATACCATGTCTCATGCCTCACAGATGGCATCACTATATGACTCCAGCCCCACGATAGACTTCACTCTATACTCATCTAGCGTTCAGACCCCAACTGGATACCCCCTTCTCAGGCAGTCTACTCCACCCTCATTCTGAGCTGCCAAGCTCCCTGAACCCTTCTCCCTCTCAGCAGTGGCCTCACTTCTAGGCATGTTGGAACCCCAGGCCCCTGGCTCTGGGCATCCCTCACAGTGGGCACTCTGGCCCTTTGACCATCCTGGTCCTGGCCTCAGCATTGACTAGTCAAGGGTTTCTCTAGTCAGGTTATTAAGCCACTTGCCCTCTCTCTCATACAGGTCCACCTTCTCAGGCCCCTCCAAATCTAGCTCATTCAGTCTCTAAGGCCAGCCCATGCCACAATCCTTCAGGCTTGCCCCTGCAGACCCTACTCTACACAGCCTTCTCACACACCCTCACTGGGCCCACTACCCCCCTCACTAGGGCTCCCAGCCTTATGTCCCTTGGGTCCCAAGCCTGATGACAGCTGCACCCCTCACTTGTCCCCTCTCTGGTCATAGGGGCTGGGGCTATATGGCACCTCATACTTGCCTTTCACTAGGGAGGTACTGATGTGGCATTTCTTGGGGATCACCCTACCACAGGCAGCCCCAACATACCATCTAACCCTAGCAGGGTATAGATTTAGGTCATTCTCCAGAACTAGGACCCCCCCCTCCATTCCCCTAGTTCCTACCCTTAACCATCAGGTGCTCTGGGAGCAGCAGTTTTCTAGCAAGCCAATATTACACCAGCAGCATCTCTACAGCAACTACCAACTCAGCTTTGAGGGCTTGGGTTTATATTGAGGCTGCTCCACCCCATCCTCCAATCCGGCAGCCCTCCCACAGTCATGTGACTGCTTCATTAGGCTACATCACACCTGCTGGCTGCTACTCTACAGCCTGCTCAAACCTCTTAAAGTGACAGGCACCAAAGGTGCCTAGCCATACACAAGTAGCAGTTTCTGTTCTGTTCCAGTGTAGTAGGGGTAGGCAAAATATGGCCTGCAGGCTGCATCCAGCCCACTAGGCCATTCCATCTGGTCCGCAGGGCCCCTAAAAAATTAGAAAATTAATATTTATCTGCCCCTTACTTCCTGTCAAAGATAACAGGAATCTGGGGGAGTAGAACCCAGGGGGAGCTGGTGGCAAAACTAAACAGCCTCAGCAGCAAGTCCCCCCCAGCTTTGCCCCCCCACTCCACCCTGAGCCCCAGCCAGAAGGCTCTACCTGGCAGAGGCTGCTGGAGGCTTCTGGCCTGGGGCTGTTCCTGCTTCCCTGCACTGAGGGAAATGCAGATAAGGAGGTGGGGAGGGATGCAGGGGAGGACTGTGAGTGATCTCCCCGGTCCTCAGGGCCAGCTAGGCTAGCTTCTGCAGTCCCAGCACTGCAGCTGGGAACCATGTGATGCTGGAGCATAGTGGGTGGGGACGGGGAGCAGGGAAATGGCTGTGGCAGGTGGGGAGAAGGGGCAGCAAGTGGGCATGCGGAGCACAGAAACAGCTAGGCGGGAGCTCAGGGCCAGTGCCAGCAGGGCCCAGAGTGGGGTGGAAGGAGCGCAGATCCTGGGCTGCCAGGGTCTCTATGGAGCCGGGTTGGCTCCCTCCTCTCCCTGTCGGAGCAGCACAGCCTGGCTGCATAAAGCCCCTGGCAGCCCAGGCCCCATGCTCCTGCCACCCCGCTCTGGGCCCCACCATGCTGACCCGGTGCACTGGTGCGGACCCCGTGCTCCCATTCATGTCACTGCACTCCATGCACTTGCTTGCTGCCCCTTCCTGCCCTCCTGCTGCAGCCATTCACCTGCTTCCCCCCTCCCACTGCATTCCTGTATCACATGGCTCCCAGCTGCAGTACTGGGACCGCAGAAGCAGCTGGGACATGGTGCTGGAACAGTAGAGTGAGGGGCGGGGGGTGGGAAAGCGGCAGGAGAAGGGCAGCAGTGGCAGGCAGGGGGCAAGCGGCAGTGAGTAGGAGCATGGGACCTGCACCAGTGCCTTGGGGCCAAGAATGGCAGGAGCATAGAGCCTAGGCTTGCAGGAATGTTGGCAGGGGCTCTGCCTGCCGTGGGTGGGAGGGGCTCATGGTAGAGCATCGGTGATAGAGGCTGCCTAGCAGGGGCTGTACCCCATGCCGCGATGTGCAGCACTGGCTGGAGCCATGCCCCACCAGGCATCAGTGCTGGGCACAAGTGCCCCAAGCGCCCCTGCCTACTGCTGTGCCATAAGGGGAATGGGGGGGGTCCCTCACCCCCGCCACCATCCTTCACACCCCACAAATATCACACACCCACGGCCTGCTCCCAGAACCCCCCATATATACACAACACCCCACATACCCTATGCCCCCCACACAGCCTTACCCCCTCACAAACCTCCATCCACACACCCCTCCAACCACACCCCGTCACACACATACACACACACTCTACCACCCCCCCACAATATACAAGACTAAGAATGTATTTATGTAGCTCTTATATAACTAAGAGTTATTATGCAATCACCTCTATATATACTATGCAAACACAAATCATGACAAAACTATTTTTTGTAATAAAATGAAAATATGTTATTGTAGGTGTTTGACTTTTAGTGTATGATTTGTATTTTTTCTTGTCCTAAGATGGTAACCCCCCCTCCCAAAAGGAGTATTTTTGGGGGGCAAGGTGAAGAACTTCTAGTGGCAAAGGTCAGGGGTTAGGGGTGGGACTTCCAATCCCAAGATGGCAACCAGGTGGCAGGGCAACTGCCAAGGGGCAGGGCTACACATGTGGTCCTCGAAAGCTCACCAAACCTTCTTAGGTGGCCCTCCACCCAAAATTATTTCTTGCTCCTGGTTTAGATGTTTTCTTAATT